AAAGGAAAAGGAAAGGAAAAGGAAAGGAAAAGGAAAGGAAAAGGAAAGGAAAAGGAAAGGAAAAGACACTTGTGTGATTAATGCAGTATATGACCTTTTCTTTTAAAAAGTTTGTGCTGTCCCTCTTGTTTAGTGCCAGTGCTGCTCACCCTTTCCCCTGAAGACGCTTGAGATGTTAAGCATCTAGGGTGCTAATTTGACTTACAGCTAAACCCGAGGGCTGCAGCAGTAGGTGGTGATGTAATAGGTACCAACGCACATGGATATATAAATATCGTGGCTAGGGCTAAAGCGCTATGGCTGAGCAGCTATAGAAGATCAGCACTTCAGACAAGACTCCTGGAGTTGAGATCAAGTTCAGAAGCTCTTGCTCCCGGGATTTCCTCTTCATGCAGCCTGCCCAGGGAAACTGCAGATCCTCAGGGGACTGAACGCGGGGCTCTCCTTCCAGCCTCGCTTTTTCTTTTTTTTTTTTTTTTTTTCCTTTCTCTTTTTTCTTCCTTTCTTTTTCTTTTTTTTTTTTCTTTTTTTTTTTTTTTCTTTCCGTGTGTGCGTTTTGTTTTGATTTTTTCTCCCCTCCGCTTTGACCTCACTATAAAGCGGGAGCTGGGGGCCAAGCGCCTTTTCGGAGCGACCGGCCGCCGGCCCGTGGCTGCGCGCCGCTAGCCGGGATGCCTCTCCCCGCGGCGCTGCTGCCGGCGCTGCTCCTGGGGCTGCTGTGGCCGGGGGCGGTGCGCGGTCGGCCGCCTCCGGGCCGCCTCCCCGCCGGGCCCCGCCAGCGGCGGTGGGACGCGGCTCTCTTCGCCCGTTCCGTAGCGCGTCTCCCGGCCGAGCGCCGCGACGCCGCCCGCGACGGCGACTACCTCCTAGGCATCAAGCGGCTGCGGCGTCTCTACTGCAACGTGGGCATCGGCTTCCACATCCAGGTCCTGCCCGACGGCCGCATCGACGGGATCCACAGCGAGAACCGATACAGTAAGCCGGCGCCGACTCCCGCAGCTGGGCAGGTGAGCCGCTCCGCACCCGCGGAACCGCTTCTCTGACGGTTCTGCGGACGCGGAGCGGCTCGCCTCACCCGGAGAGCGGTGTGAGTTAAAAGGAGGGTGGGTTTAGGGCAGACCTCTCGCCACCTAGAAAAGTCCGCTCGCGCCGGCTGCCCCGAGGGCGTCCTGCGCCCGGGGGAACGGGACGGCGGCGGAGCTCAGAGAGCGCTCCATGCGGCCGCCCCGCGGGTCGCGCTGCCCGGCGCCGCGCTGTCCCCTCGCAACCAGCAGGCATCAGGTGTAGGGGCTACCTCAACATCTAAAGGACCCTCAGGCCCTGGGCCGCCCACCTTGAGTAGGGGCTGGGAAGAACTCAACCAGGGCCCAGCTCTCCCTCAGACTTGAAAAGCATCTGCTAGAGACTTAACCCCATGGCCCCGTGACTCTGATATCCAACTGAAACAATAAGATCCAAGGGGGGGATATAAGCTGCATGATGACAAATGTTTCATACGCCCCAAACACAATCTGGCTTATTTTAACCTTGGCTACAGAGGAGGATGCCTGGGGGCAATGTAAAAATAGATACTTAGCTAAAAGAAGAGAGGTCCCAGCATGGTGCATGGAGCAGCACGTGAGGCACGAGGCTGGGGTTCTGTGGCCACCCAGCAGCACTGGGGCACAAGGATCCATGCTACATTGGGGATAAGAACCTCTGGATGAGTGCAGAACTCACATCACACACTTCCTCAGGCCACAATCCTTTGTACCCCTGATTCCTGTGTCTCTTCTGTAGGTCTGCTGGAAATCTCCCCTGTGGAAAGAGGAGTGGTGAGCATATTTGGTGTTAGAAGCGGACTCTTCGTGGCCATGAATAGCAAAGGCAAACTCTATGGATCTGTAAGTAGGCACTAGTTGCGTGCTTGGGGAGGGACCATGGTGGCCTGGAATGAGAGGTGTATACGGTGCTGGAAGCCAGGGCCCCACAGATGATCCTTTATGGTGTGATTAATCAGTGCCTGTCACATACCTGTCTATTGCTCCTTGTTAATACTCTTGATTGGAGAGCTCCCATGACAGTTCAGCACCTTTAGGGTCCAGGCTCGTAATTATAAAGAGGCAGATCTGTTAAGATACAATGCAAATCTTCTATTACATCTAGTCCATGGAAAAAATACTGGCATGTTTTAAAGCACACTGCGTGGACAGTGACAGTGACAGTGCATGTCTTAATCCACGTTGAGCTGTCCTTCTACTTTAGAATTCAACTGTGTATAAGTTACAGTGATTAGCATCATTTCAACCCCATGTTCTTGGATTTCCTTCCCTACCCCTGGCCTTTGTATTTCATGTCCCTCAGGAATGTTTTGAAGAAACATGGGCTGAGAAAGGGCCAAATTATGTCAAAGTTGACTAGGACATTTTCACATGCACGAAAACTTGAATTATCCAGAGCTATTTTCTGTGGCATCAATCCTGTCACAGAGGATTTTGACTACATGAAAGCCAGGAATGACTAGTCATCAAAGTGCAAAAGCTCCCTTTGTGCCAAGCCTAAATGAAACAATATGCTGCTTTGGTGTCCTGGATACAATTATCAATGCAGTGTTCATCCTGGCAAGCTGAGACCTATCTTACAAAACCATCAGATTTGCCCACTAACAAGAGATGACCTCATTTGTTACTCTCCGTATGACACACCTGCAACACCTGTCCCTCTTTGTACTTGCATGTGAAACCCCTTTACAAGAAGCATGCTTTCTGTCAGCCCTGTCTTCCTGATCCATTAACACAGGTAAATCTAAACCTTTCAATTTTAAAACTCAAGATGCAGAAAATACTGTCCACTCTGAGCATTTTTAAAATACCTCTTTCCCTTCAAACAACATGAGAAAGTGCTAACATTCAGATTTTTTCTGAAGCTTCCCAGAGAATTCACTACTGGTAGGAACAACCACTGTGTTGGGAACTAAGTAAACTTACCAATATGTAACTCAGAAACATCAGTGAGCCCTTGCACTCTGACATGGGGACGTGAGCACTGGTTGCAACTCATAACTCTCACTGCCCCGGTGTCTGACAGTTTCTTTTCCCCTTCTTTTTTTTAATGGTAAAAGCTCATCAGCTGAGCTAGATGATGAGCAGGGCAGCAGAACTGCATCTGGGTCACTCCTGATGGCAGTGCCCTCTGTTAAAATGGGCCTCTTTCTCTCAGAAGCACAGACAGAACTACAGGGTATCCTTCTGTGCTCCACGTGTCTGTGCCTGGCTAGGAAGCAGCACCCTTAATAATTGTCTGAGTGTCATTTGAAGCTTCCTTTGGACAACCACTTCAAAAGATTACTTACGGGGGGATGTCAGCTGCACCTTTTCCTGCAGCACACCTACTACACCTGGTAGCAAGAATATTTCTGCACCTGATGTTTAAAATTCCTTCCCTCTCATTCTTTCCTTTTCATTTCAGACCCATTTCAATGATGAGTGCAAATTCAAAGAGATCCTCCTGCCAAACAACTACAATGCTTACGAATCCAGGATTTATCCCGGGATGTACATAGCCCTCAGCAAAAATGGAAGAACAAAGAAAGGCAATAAAGTATCTCCCACAATGACGGTGACACATTTTCTTCCTAGAATCTGAGACATCTCCCTTCCGACCTACCTCAGCACAGGGAAAGACTCAGAACACGTTTGGGAAAAAAGAAACGTGGTGCACTTTTACTGGAGAGTTTTATGCAAGAGTAGGTGTAAGATATTTAAATTAATTATTTAAATCTGTATATATTGCCACTAAATTTATTTATAGTTCTGTTTGTTTTTTTTTTTTCCTGAGAACAAAACAAACCTCCAAGCCTAGGTATTTCATTTCATGGTGCAACAGTAGGAGACTTCTGCTTTGTGGTTTATTTAATTCATTTCCTAAGTTACCACAGGTGTGCTGCTACTATGTGTTCTATAACCGGTGACACTCAATTCCTACTACATTACAACATTTTGCACTGTTGGTGTGTTGTATAGCGTCTATTGTTGTACATGTATTTGTTTGCTATGTTGGCTTTGTTCCCCTCTGTGTTTTTAAAACCCCCATGAGTCCCAGAGAAGCTCTTGGCCTTTGAGAAGGAGCAGCACAGAGGTGCCTGGGTGGGATGCCGGCGCGGAGCCACACACAATGCCTGACCTCCTTTGTGCAGCGTTGCTATTTAATTGGAATGGTATCGGTTTACTTCGGTGCAGAAAGTGCGGTGCTGAAGAGCTGCCCCACAAATCTGTTTTTAGATCTGCCAGGGCTGAACTTTGAACTTTCCTGCAGTCAGTCTTAGAGCTGCCAAGCAGCGGAGAAGTTTAAGCACCTATATAAACTCAGTGGGCTTTTAATTTTCTTTTCTATTTAGATAAACAGGAGCATCATATTTTTGTGGCCCTTAATGGACACTGCATTTGATACGACCGCTTCGTATTAGGCGAATAAATTGTCTGCTCCTCCCCCAGTGAGCCCACTGGGGCACCTACTGTGATGAACAGGTTATACTTCATTCAAATCAACTTCCCTCTCATATTTGGAGACTACACACATTTGTCAAAATTTGTGGAAAAAGAAAAAAAAAAAAAACAAGCCAAACATTGTAATATTCATACGCTATAAAAAGGCAAAGTCATTTGCTGGTTCACTGAAACGCAAGCTCCATAGAGAGAGTTTAGATTGATTACAAGTAACCGAGGTTGTTTTGTACTATTTATTATTTTTGGTGCAGTATTTGGGAGGAGAAGTATGCTGCTTTTTTTTTTTTCCTGTCTCATTCCCTAGAAAAGTTGATTAATTTCTACCTCACTAACTCTCAAAGCCAACCTCCTAACAAAATCTGCATGGAAGGTACATGCTTTTCTGCTTTGTCTTATAATGTTGGAGGAGGGCTTCGGGGAACAATTGCTGTCATCCCAAATCTCTATTTTTTTCCATATGTAGCCAAAAGTATTCAAGATAGAGTCAGTTGCATCCTATTTGAGCCTTGTCACGTTTGAGCTATCTTTACCCAGTGATTTACTTTTAGTAAGGATAATCATGGTGAAAATATTTGCAGACAGCTGTCAGGCTGCAGTACCATATCGTCATCAAGTAACTCTATATTTTTCTTTATACATTTTGCAAGAGTAACTCATGTCCCTAATGCGATGAAGGAGGAATCAGGTATGATTATGGTGGAATCTTTACAAGGATCCATTTTTCCTTTGTTATTTCTTTCTCCTCTTTAAGCAATATGCCATCTTCACAGCATAGATACGTTAAGTTGTAACCAGGACTAACCACAATGTTTAATGAATTAGAGGATGTTTACAGATCATCTTCCAACCTAAACTAGCCATTTCTGACTACATGCAAGTCTCAAGGCTGTGGGTAATTTGAGTTCAGCTAATTTTTTCCTTTTACATTCCTACAAGAAAGTATTTGTTCTATTGGAATCATATAGACTTACCTCTATTCTCTGCTTACACATGACCTTGAAGACAAAATCTACTCACCAAAGTTCAGTGAGACCAGAGCAGACCAGGACCACACCTTAAGCCAGCTGCTGCCAAAGCAAAAATACAGTTTAAAAACAGGAAGCCAAATCAGGGAGATTTGGAAATGTCACGCCTAAGGATTTTATTTTTTTTTTTTCCTGTAATTTGGGGGATTTCTCTACTTTCTATGCGTTCTGTATGTGAACAATCATTGTGTAATTACCACTGCTACCTCTGCTAATGGATGGTTTTGTTCTAGGATTCAGACAGCAAAATCGCAAAGAGTTTCCCTGGGAATGGTTCTTTGTCACTTTTCACGCCATCAAAATCCACAACTGAGAGCCTCACATAAGATATGTTCAGAGGTAGTTGTTGTAACTTTGAAATATTGTGCTAAAACCTAGATGACAATGTTACATGGTATGAGTTTTCACCATTTACCAGAATCTGTCTGTAGTTTTATACAGGTGCTGTTCAAGACTGTGGTGTATGTGCTGTGCACATTTAAATGCACAATAAATGATAAATGTTTACAGTGTATGGCACCCTGGAATTGATTTTAACTCTTTAGAAAGGAATGTGTCCTGCAGAGAAAAATTTAGACGAGGAAGCATTTGCACCTCTGCCAGATACTTCACGAATGACAATCTGGATTTCTTACTCAGCTAAAGTTCACCCTGGAGAGGTTGGAAATTGTCCAGGAAAGCCCAGCTTGGTAAGCTCTGTAATAGATACACATGCTGGCATCTGCCACAGATTAGTATTCACGCTTATATTAATGACAACAGCTTTTCATGCAGCGTCTCATATTAGCGATCAGAGGCACAAACCAGTTTTGGAGTTTATGTTGCTGGATGTTAGCCTTACACATGAAACCAGATTGCCTTTTCCTTGGTTTTAGAGAGTGCTGCTGTCTCTCTTGCTGCAAAGAAAGATTGCACACTGATGCAAGAAGTTCTAGGATTGATTACCTGTTGGATTTAAGATAGTCCCTTCTACTGTTACCAATTATAAGCACACCAGTGTATAGAAGTACAGAGTGCTTTGTAGTACGCCTTATGGCAAGATTTCTCAACTTTTATTTATACACACCTATGCATATGGACCTGTACATGCACAAGCACACAGCCAAATCCTGTGGTTTGACTCAAGGCCTTCCCTTTTGTGGGACTAAGGAAGCATATGTTATGGCAATGGCAATATTCAGGTTTGAACTCACACTCCTTGGTGGCAAAGGGAGTTTTCATTCTGCTAAGGGCTACATGACCCCAAGATACAGATTTTTTCACTTTGTTTTCTGGCCCTACTTCGAGCAAGAGCAATTTCTTTCTAAAGTCATACAGGCTTCATGAATGTAGCACAGGTGGCTTTTTTAAAACCAGACAAGTATAGCTGCTCCTATAAGTAGAAGCAAAATAAATAGGTAAGGAGATCATTTTTTTCCACTATTAACTGTTTGGTTTCTTTTTTTCTTTTTGTAAACAGATGTAAATTTATCACTGCCACTGGTCTTCCCAAATTTTAACCAAAAGTTACACTTTTGGACGTAACATTGTTTCAGCGTTGGAGAGACATCCAGTTATGAATTCAAAATTGTTTTAGAGAGAAATCCTAAGGCTTAGCTGCCAGAAAGGTGAAATTTCAGAGTATGGCTTTGCTGGAGTACCAGCACCTCGTGTATAGTCCTACCGCAAAAGATGTTATGGAGAGAGCTGGAGAAATGTTCTCTCTCCTCTAGCATTCACTTGTGCTAAGCCAGCTTTCCTCCCATTGCCTTTGCAGGTAATAAAAGTAATGCACCAAAGCTGGTAATCAGCTTCAATGCCTCAAAAAGGGCCCTGATACATCACGTGTTGCAACATTTCTGAAATCCCTGAGAGCTCTGCAGTGCTCCAGGCACTCCTGGTGCCTCTGGCATCCTCCAACAAACATTTCCCTGCACAGAACAACTGAAAATCTTCCCCGATGCAGGATTAGCCCTGTCTGTGATGGCCCAGCCTGCCCTGTCAGGCAAAGAGGAGTTGTGCCAGCCTGGCCCCTGGCAGCAGTCCCAGGGCAGTGCAGTGCCCTGCATGCTTGCAGAAAGGCTGCAGCGGGCTCCCTGCCCTGTCACTTGTTTATGGGCTGGCACCTTCCACATGGCCCTGACTCCTCTGTGGCATCTTCTGAGCTGCCTGTATCTAATCTGTGCTAATAAAAATCAGCATGACAAAACACTGCCTTGTGTATAAATAGCCACAACATTCAGAGCAGTCACCAAGTTCATGGTTCCAGTTTCGGTTGTTCACACTTAAGCACTTGGTTTCCACTGCGGTGTATTAACCGGCCACGCAAGTGACCAATTAAAGAGAATCTGTTAAGGTCTGAAGAGGCTTTTAATAAAAACTAGTGAGCACTTCAGCAAGGGAGTTAAAAGGCATTCCCTGAAGCACTGCAGCTCCCTTTGTATGACAAATTATTGTTGTTTTCTACCAAGTGATCTAAATAGGGATGGGGTTGTGAGGGACTGCAATACCTCACTGCTTTCAGGTAATACAGCATATAAAAGGGAAGCACGGCACAATTCCAGTTTCCTGCACACCAGCCACAATTTACAGACCCCAAGCAAGAAATAGTACCCTCCCTTGTTATTAAATTTGTTTGCTTAAAAACAAAACAAAACCCAGCAGATAAATATCATGCCAAGAAGCAACTGCAGAAAGTGACTTAAGGCTCAATAATCACTTGATGTAAAACAATGACAACTTCTAATATCATAAATCGCACTGTATGTTAAAATGATTGTTTGCAATGTCTATCGAGCAGATTGATTTTTTTCCCTTTTAATGTTTTTAAGAAAAGAATATTTTAGTGTCACATTGAAGATGTTAGTGTCACCTCTGCCACCAGCTTACCTGCAATGCCAGCAGTGAGGAGCAAGAAATGGTCTGGGCCTTCCTTCTGGGATGCCCAACAGGACACCACAAAGCAGTTCAAGAATGGTAAGCACCCAGAACTGAATCCATCTGCATCTGTGTGGTGCCCTGGGAAATGTCTAGCACTAGCAAACATCTTGCTGTGAATGTTTCAATGCAGGCAGCTCATATTACTGCACCTTTTTGACACCAACACTAATGCTTCTACTCCCAGTTCCTAAGATACCATTAAATGATGTTCAAAATACATCTCTTAGTATTGTCAGAAAATAATTGATACTTGTGAAAAACAAAAGTACTGAACTTGTGACAGTTATGGAAAGCTTG